GGATGTTACATTTTTTCTTCTTGCTACTATAAGAGATGTTGATGTTGCATATCAGTCTCATACCCTTAAAATTTAAGTGCTTTCTCAATCCAAACCCTTCATGTTCCAAGCAACGCCTCATTTTTCTCTCCATCTCTTTTACTACGGTGCAATCTTCACTTGCCTTCCTCTTATTCTATCAACTTTTCTGGCTTTAACTTATATATTTATTCTTTAATTTTGATTACCCTTTACCTCATATTAGGGTTTATGGGATTGTGTAATGTTTTTAGTTCTCTTCTCTCTATTGAATTTAGGGTCTTTCAATTTTTATACAAATTGCTCCAATCTTGCATATTATAAGTTCACATTACCTATGTATGTGAGAGGTTCTTCCACACGTAAAATTTTCTAGAACTCCGCCACTAACAGTCGATAGATCGTTAACTTTCTACTATACAACGTTGTCGACTGTCGAGTGATTGGGTCTCCCGCTCCACAACAATGGAGCAAAAGCTAATGGTCAGTGGATGGAGTTAACACACTGAAACAATATACAAGCTATAAATGAACTATGTACTGAAACAATAAACAAGGTATAAAGTATAATTTATACTATTCGTAAGAATTTAAAGTTTGTCAATTTCTTTTGAAATCACTAGGGATGCAACTCGGAGGGGTTGGATGGTCAACCCAATTCTAATATATTCTTTTATAATTTGGGTTTGGGTTGAGTTTCATCTGGGTTTAGTAGGGTTTGGATTTTAATTGAGTCCGGATATTCTAGATGTGTTCGGATTCGTCAACCTTATCAAGTCCAATCGTATAACACCTTGTTTTGCATGATATTTCAAGTTTTCAACTGAACAACGTCAATATTAGTTAAAATTTCATTTACACATCATCATCCGCACAAAAGTTAAAACAAACAACTTGGAGATTCTTTCTAATGTTTCAACCATGCAAATTTGAAATTAAATACAAGGCGTACACCAAAGAGTCAATCAAAGAAATGTAAAGGTAACACTATAATTCATTATCCATATGAAGACGGACTATAAAGAAGTACAGTCATTCCAAAACTTATATATAACTCATATAATATGCAGTGGGATGGTAATATGTGCATAGGGTAAATTCGAGCTCAAAATCGGGTTGTGTTTGGGTTGACATGGGCGGGCAAGACATCAACTCAACTCAACCATAAATGTTTAGGTTGAGAGAGGGGTTTTTCTTTATTCTAACCTGCCCGATCGGTTTTAAAATCGAGTTGAGATTCGGGCTAACCCAACCCAAATTGCACCCCAAAAAATCACCCATATTTTTCCTTTTGCTGCCATTACTTGCACTAAACAACATTTACATAAAAAAAAAAAAAAAAAAAGAAGATAAACTAGTAATTTTAATTGATAGTGGGTATTAAAATTAAATAAAATTAATCGAAATCGAAACAAGAGTGTATTTCATTGGTTATTTTAGCACGTCGGGTTTGAGTTTGGATCTTTCAACCTGATAGCTTAATGATATGACATAACACATGTTAACACAAGTATAATAAACACGACCTATTTACCAAATAGACTATCAACCCTCGGGCGGTCCAAAGGAAGTTCGGGCTCGGTTTAGGTTTTCTAGAATTTTGAATTGTTTAAAGAAAATGTTTTATATTCACAAATCACACGGTAAAATAAAAATTAGAACTAAGAAAATTTGATGCTACAAACACTAAATTTGTGCATACATTCTTCAAAAAAAAAAAAAAAAAGGGGGACCAGTTGATGACTTCAACACCCATTCCATTTTTTTCGAAGCCGGAAAAACTCATAGAGACATCGAACCCAGAACGTGTCTTGTGGAATATTTGCCTGAACTTCGTCCTCAATCATTTGGTCACCCCATGATGCATTAAATTCTAATATGAATTAATTATAAAATTAAAGGAAAACTAATGAAAAATGTTTGAAAACTTTGAGATTTAACGATAAAAACAAAATAAAAAGTAAAACGAATAGTACCATAATTGACTTTTTAGTATAAAATGTGTTTTTTCGTTAAAACAAACAGTATTAAGAACTTTTCATTAAAGTTCTCTAAAATTAATTGGTGACACATTATATGAATATATTATATATGCATGATAATAATAATAATAATAAAAAAAAAAAAGCGATAATGCACAATTAGCTGATTAGCCCAATTCCAAATCCCTCCCAAACCCAAATCCAAATGTGGAAAGTTGGACACGTTGGTTCAATGTTTCCAGATCTCTCTGGTTCCTTCCTTCTTCCCTCTTTTCTTCTTCTAATCTTCTACATACCTCTCGAAATTTCTTGCCCTCCTCCTTCGTACCAGACACCCAATGCCTGTATATATGCATTGCCATGGTCTCCCAAACAGACCATCAGGCAAACAACAACAGAAAAGCTCACTTCACCCATTCAACAACCCTAATCCTTCTTTTAAATTTTTTCCTGATTTCTTCTTTTCTTATTCATGGCTTCAAAGACGCAAGGCAAGGCCATCGGCATCGACCTCGGCACCACCTACAGCTGCGTCGGGGTGTGGCAGAACGACCGCGTTGAGATCATAGCCAATGACCAGGGAAACAGGACCACCCCTTCCTATGTCGCCTTCACCGACACGGAGCGTTTGATCGGCGATGCAGCGAAGAACCAAGTCGCTATGAACCCCCAAAACACCGTGTTCGACGCCAAGAGACTCATCGGCAGGCGGTTCTCCGACCCTTCTGTCCAGAGCGACATGAAGCACTGGCCTTTCAAGGTCGTTGCTGGTCCCGGCGACAAGCCCATGATTGTGGTAAATTACAAAGGCGAAGAGAAGCAGTTTGCGGCGGAAGAGATTTCGTCAATGGTGCTGACTAAGATGAGGGAAATTGCCGAGGCTTATTTGGGTCACCCTTGCAACAACGCTGTGGTCACTGTACCTGCTTACTTCAATGACTCGCAGCGGCAGGCCACAAAGGATGCTGGCTCCATTGCCGGGCTCAATGTGATGAGGATTATCAACGAGCCTACTGCTGCTGCCATTGCTTACGGTCTTGACAAGAAGGGATCCAGTACTGGCGAGAAGAATGTTCTTATTTTCGATCTTGGTGGCGGGACTTTTGATGTTTCTTTGCTCACAATTGAGGAGGGGATCTTCGAAGTGAAGGCTACTGCTGGTGATACTCATCTTGGTGGTGAGGATTTTGACAACAGGCTTGTTAATCACTTTGTGCAGGAGTTTAAGAGAAAGCACAAGAAGGATATTAGTAGCAACGCCAGAGCTTTGAGGAGGTTGAGGACTGCGTGCGAGAGGGCGAAAAGGACTTTGTCTTCCACCGCCCAGACCACCATTGAGATCGATTCGCTCTACGAAGGTATTGATTTCTATTCTACAATTACTAGGGCGAGATTTGAAGAGATGAATATGGATTTGTTTAGGAAGTGTATGGAACCTGTTGAAAAGTGTTTGAGGGATTCCAAAATCGACAAGAGTCGAGTTGATGAGGTTGTTTTGGTTGGTGGGTCGACGAGAATTCCCAAAGTTCAGCAGCTTTTGCAAGATTTCTTCAATGGCAAGGAATTGTGCAAGAGCATAAACCCTGACGAAGCCGTGGCTTACGGTGCTGCTGTTCAAGCTGCAATTTTAAGCGGCGAAGGAAATGAGAAGGTCCAAGATCTGTTGCTTCTTGATGTCACTCCTCTCAGCCTCGGTCTTGAGACTGCAGGTGGTGTCATGACCGTCTTGATTCCGAGAAACACAACCATTCCTACCAAGAAGGAGCAGATCTTCTCTACCTACTCCGACAACCAGCCAGGAGTGTTAATTCAGGTATATGAAGGAGAGAGGGCTAGAACCAAGGACAACAACCTCCTTGGCAAGTTTGAACTCACGGGCATTCCCCCGGCGCCAAGAGGCGTCCCTCAGATCAATGTCTGCTTTGACATTGATGCAAATGGTATCTTGAATGTGTCGGCGGAAGACAAGACTGCTGGAGTGAAGAACAAGATCACTATTACCAACGACAAGGGAAGACTGAGCAAGGAAGAGATTGAGAGAATGGTGCAGGAGGCAGAGAGGTACAAGGCTGAAGATGAGGAGGTTAAGAAGAAGGTGGATGCCAAGAACTCGCTCGAGAACTACGCATACAACATGCGGAACACCGTCAAAGATGAGCAGATTGCTGGAAAATTAGACCCTGCAGACAAGCAGAAGATTGAGAAGGCCATTGACGAGGCAATCGAGTGGCTAGACCGGAACCAGTTGGCGGAGGTGGAGGAATTTGAGGACAAGCAGAAGGAGTTGGAGGGATTGTGCAACCCGATCATTGCCAAAATGTATCAGGGTCCTGGAGGAAATGTGCCGGTGGGCGGTGGTGCTCAGATGCCTGGTAGCGGATTTGGAAACACTACGTCCGGTGGCGGATCAGGAGCCGGGCCTACGATTGAGGAAGTTGACTAAAATTGAGGGTTTTGGTTTAGTTGGTTTTTTCTTCTCTGTTTGTGATTCTGCTTGAATAATTGTTTACAAATATGCAGTGTTTTTGTTAATGTCCTAGATTTACAATGATGTAAACTTTCTTTTCCTGGCGTATTATGTTTATTGCTCGATTAGTTGTGTGGTGCAATGGTTGCTTGGTCTCATCTAACACTTTCATTTGCTTGCTACATGTTCATTAGGATTTAGGGTTTATGGTGGTCTGTTAAAGCCACTCATTTGTGGTGGTTCCACTGCCAAATGTTCTAAGATGTACCCACGTAATATGCTCCATCATAAAATGCACTAAGATGTGGGATTTGGGTCCCATCCAAAGAGAATCTTTGGGATCCTATCTGTTTATCTTACGTTATGCGGTCAGAAATTATTTGGATATTTTTATTTAAATTTATGCACATCAGTATCTAACGAAAGCTGATTGAACGATGTACGATGAACTAATAGGATGTGAGGATCTTTAGCATCCTCGTAAAAGAGGATTCGAAGAGGATCCTTATCCCTAAGATGTGTACCTACTTAAATCGAACCAGAATGTAGTGCCATTGGTGCATTGTCTGTTCTATCATTTCACAAGTGGGGTGCCGGAAGCCACTCCAAACCGTATATTCTCGGGGAGATGATATGATTGTGGAAATGGCCGCACTCACACTTTTTAGTTGACATTTGACAATGAGTGAACATAAACCTTCAGGACTTAAAGCCTTCACATCTTATCATTTATGTTGACAAATGTGTAAGTTGTGTGATGACGAGGAGTGGGCGTAGGAGATTCGGTCGGAGGCCGCGTGACTGAGCACATCATGTATTCCTTCCTTATCATTGTGTTTTTAATTGCTTCCTTTTCCCACGGTTTTCACACACTGTTCATCATGTTTTGCATTATCTCCCTAATATTACAACATTTGTATGCATTAGAGCTGCAATTTGCTTCTTAATCATTACGTCTTCAAGACGAGATGATGATCATCACGTCTTCAGTTTTAGTGTTTTTAAGTTTATTGTCCTTCTAAATTCTGAACTATATGTTACAAATTTGATATAAAACCAATTTCTTGCTGGAAGGTGGGGAGGTGGGACGTTGTTTGTTGATGAATGAAATATTGAGAGAGAGAGTTCTATCTCATATGTGTGCCTTTCTCTTGTTTAAGAGTCTGCAACTTTGTTCTTTCTAGTGTCTACGTCATAAGTTGGTACTAGAACCAAAGTGTATAGGGTTTTCAGGTCTCTCCTTGCACTTGGAGATAGTGGACTCTGCCTTTTGTTTTCTTATTAATCTTATTTATCAGTCCATATCATTTTATTTTGTTTCTACCCGCTGCGCCCTGCATCAATTATTAGCATCTGTCTATTTGTTTTTATTTTTCTGCTCTATGTAAAACATATTTAGGAAATAATTGTAATCCAGCTGTGATCATTGTTCTTACCGTTGATCGATAAGAATGTAAGAGATTCTATGCTGATTGCAAGACAAGTTTGACATAGAGCTAGAAACAGAAAGAAAGCATTTCGTTAAAAAAAGATACGGGATGCGGGATGCTAGCCGTCGTCTAGGGTAGGAGAAGAAATTCCGAGGGTAGAGGCAAATGTTGCAGTAGTATCACCACAGAGATATCTTTTCAGTCGATCCAAGTCATCCGCAGCATCGAGCATTGTCGGCCTAGTGGAGGGGGACTCCTGTGTGCAGAGGATTCCCAACTCTATCAACTCTCCAATTGCGACATCCCACATCTTTCTCACCTCGGCGGATTGATCTCTAGAAGCTCTCATTAGGGAGAAATCAACCACTTTTTCTACCCTTCCATGATAATGGTTCTTGACCCACCTGTGCAGGTTTAGCCCTCCAACAAACATGTCATCTGTTGGCGTTTTTCTTGTCACCATCTCTAGAACCAGAACGCCAAAGCTGTAAACATCGCCTTTTGTAGATGCATTAGAACCATACCCGTATTCTGCATACAAAGAAGCGAGCGTGCATTAGGCTTATTCTAAGTTACTGAACAAATAATCGAGTTCTACCATCGCCAGTCTTTAAAAATGGCTTCGAAATGAAAATAAACAAATAGAGAAATTGGTGAATTGTATTCATTATTTCTGAGTAATGAATGATCTTTGTTACCATGCTTAGATTTATGTGTTCAGAAATGCTTGAAGTTCCAATTGCTGAGAATGTAGTTATGAACAAAACTCATATTCTATCTGTTTGGTTTAACGAACGGCTAGCTTAAGCAGAGGATAGATCGTTACCTGGTGCTATGTATCCAATGGATCCGAATAACATATTTGCAGTAGAGTTTCCCATGTTCTCAAGAGCTGAATTTCCACCTCCAGCTATCAGCAATCTTGCGATCCCAAAATCGGAAACTAAAGCTGTCATGTCATCGTTGAGAAGAACATTGCTCGGTTTTAGATCACAGTGTATAACTTTGACTGGAGAGTGGTGATGTAGATATGCCATCCCTTCAGCTATGTCACTGCAAATGTTCACCCTTTGGATCAGGCTCAAATCAGAAGAACCTGAACGCAGACCTGTCTTCGAATGTTGATAGAGACAGCTTTCTAAGCTACCGTTTGCCATATAAGGAAGAACAATGGCCTTAAAGTCCGGTAGACTGCATGCTGTTATAATCCTTATAAGGTTTCTGTGCCGAATTCTCCTCAAGACTTGGCATTCTCTGGTAAAACTCTTTGTTGAATTTCCAGATTGCAACTGTAAGACCTTGACTGCTATCGTTGTCCCATCTGGAAGAACTCCCCTGTACACGCGTCCATAGCTGCCCGTTCCGATCAGTCTCTGATCATCAAATCCGTTAGTGGCATCCGACAGATCTCGATATGTGACTCTTGGGAAACTGTGAACCAATTCTGGTTGTGTTGGTTTTCTTGCTCTCGCAGTCCTGTGAGCTGAGATTAGTGCCTGAATGCGCCGGATTGCAATCACACAGCATAGTATTGATAGGGATGTTGATATGAATATGACTAAGCTGAATAGGATTAAGAAAATGTGCGATTGAAACGGAAGCTTTTTGTGGGGGCAAGCAGGTCTGAAGGAAACAGTACCACAAAGGTGCTGATTGCCCAAGAAAGATGTATATGAGACAGCTTCAAAGATGCCACCAGAGGGAATCATTCCTTCAAAGTTGTTGAAAGAAAGATTTAGATATGTGAGCGTTCGGCTGTTGTTGAGGCTTAGTGGAATCTTTCCAGAGAAGCGGTTTCCTGAAATATCAAGGGACTCAAGATTCTTCAGCTCACCTATGGAATCTGGAAGTTTCCCCTCCAAAGAATTGTGTGAAAAGTTAATCAGGGTCAATGCAATACAACTCGATATCTGTGGGAAGATACTTCCACTTAGGTTGTTCGATGAAAGATCCATCTCTTGAACATCTTCCAGTTTGCTGAGTTCAATCGGTATAAGCCCTTCGAGTTGATTATGTGAGAGGTTTATAAAAATTCTGATCTCACTCAAACCCGATAATTGTGGGGGGATGCTGCCTGTCAATCTGTTGTATGATAAATCAAGCTTGTACAGCTGTATGCAGTATCCTAATGTTGGGGGTATTGATCCGGAAAGGAGGTTGTTGTTGAGGAACAGATAATTCAGGCTAACCAAATTTCCTATACTGCTTGGAATATCACCGGAGAATGAGTTATGAGAGAGATCAAGCAGGCCGAGGTGAGTCATCTGGCCCAATGCAGCTGGAATTGCGCCGGTGAACAGGTTGTGTGATAAGAAAAGCTGTTCCAAATGTGACAGCTGACTGATGTTTGCTGAGATTGTTCCATTCAGAAGATTGGATGTCAAATTCAGGACCACAAGCTTAGAAAGATTACCTATATTCGGAGGAATTGATCCAAATATCTGGTTTTCTTGCAGCAAAAGATTCGTAAAATTGATACCAAGTCTACCGATGGAACTGGGCAATATTCCTCCGAGGCCCATACCAGCCAGCTCAAGCTCCTCTAGAGAAGTGCAATTTGTGATGGCAGAGAAAAATGGGTCAAGATTAGTGTTGCCATCTTGGCTTACCATATCATTGTTAGATAAATGAAGATAGAGAATATTTTGCAACTTCTGTGCAAACTTGATGGGCAACTCTCCAGAAAGATGGTTACATTCGACGTCTAAGTTGACCAGTGAGCTATTGGTCAGAAAGAGAGGAAGTTCTCCAGTGAACTGATTGTTGTATAAATTGAGGCTCCATAGTTTTGGACAATTTCCAATCTCTATCGGAATTTTTCCGGAAAGAAGGTTGTTGGAAAGGTCTAAAACCGCTAACATACTGCAGTTGGAGAAGAGTGTAGGTGGAATGGCGCCGGTTAAATTATTTTGCAATAGACTAACTGTAGTGAGTTCTGAAGGAAGGGCTAAGGAATCCGGTATTGAACCATGAAAGTTGTTCCCCTCTAGCAGTAGACGATGGAGGCGCCTGAGTGAGCCAATTTCAGCAGGGATAGTTCCATAGAAGTGATTTCCAACTAGCACGAGGTTACGGAGGCCTGTAAGATTTGAAATGACGGGTGAAAGCCGCCCTGCAAGCGCATAATCCTTCAGAATGAGATCTGATACGCGATAATGCTGTGTGTTGCAGCTGACACCCGTGAAGTTGCACATGACATCCGTGAAGTTGCAGCTGACACCCGTGAACTTGCAGACATCAGTAGCTTCCTTCCAATTAGCCAGCTTGGAATACGGATCATATACAATGGCCTTCTTGAACTCCAGCAGAGCAGCCTTGTCTGCAATCAAAGAGTGATGAGGACTCTGGGGATGACCAGCAACTGCACTACTAGATGCCGAGACCAAATGCTGGATTAGAAGAAAAAACATGGTTTCGACGAAAGCCATACTTGATAAACTGAAAGAGCCTAAGAACAATATTTGTTTGTGAGATTCCCTTCGCTTCAACTTTCATCGTGCTTCGTTCTCATATCATGTAACAGTGGTAAATGATTTGTGGTAGTAAAAGAGAGACTGGAGAGAAGGTGGAAAGGGATATTTTCGGAATAAGAAGTCAATCAAGGTTATGATTTTGTTGAAGAACCGAGGAAACTCTAGTATCTTAGTATCTGTTTGGTACTCTACTTGAATTCAACTTTTTAAACTCAAAAATAATTTTCAAGTTTTAGGCCTTAAAAACTTGTTTGGCAGAACTATTTTAAAAAACTGAACTCAAGACTAACTCAAAAATATAGTTTCTCTCAAAACATAAAAATTGAGTTTTTGGAGTTTTTAAACTTAAACTCACTCATTCTTTTTTCTCTCACTCCTCCCATCTTACTCTAAATCTGTCTTTCTCTTTTCTTCTTTCTCTCTCCTGTTTTTTTTCACATTTTTCGTCTCTCCTTCAATTCGTTATTTTCATTCTCTCGGTTCTTTCTCTCATCCTCTTCCTCTTTATCTCTTCCGATCGTCTCTCTTCTTTCTCCTTCCTTCAATTATCTCTTACTTTCTTTCCTCATCTCTCATCTTTCTCCCTTTCCTGCGACCCCCTCTTTTTAGATCTCTTTGTCTAGTTTAAGTCGTAAGATTTAAAAATTTTAAATCGCAAACCAATCAAGTTTTTTAATTTTAAAGAAAATTATTTTTAAGAAATGTTCCTAAAAAATATTTTGATAAATAATAAAAATTTTCAAATAGGATACCAAACATGCCCTTACGTTTTGGATGCAAACGCCGAAAGCATAATCGTGAGGTGAGGAGGAGAGTGGGAAGGGAGTTGACATTTTATAAGTTGTCTATCTCTACTGCACTGTCAAGTTTAGTTGCAAGCAGCTTGTGTGTGAGGGCACTCAGTTTTTCTACTTCTTTTCAGGACCGACTGGAGGCCTGCGGAAACTTGAATGATGACAGCATTCCACTCAAGTCTGTACTCTCTCTCTCTCTCTCTCTCTCTCTCTCTCCAGATGGATGTTCTTTTTACCAAGGCATGCAGGCTTATTAGGGATCCACCATTAATATCAGCACAGTGAGCTAAGAGGCCCCAGTTTTGTTCTATGAATTTAGACTAAGCGCACTCAAGTTTATTTCTTACTCCAAAACAAACAAAAAAAAAAGGCATGCTGAGTTTTTATTTATTTATTTATTTTTTAGATTTTGGTACTCAATGCAGAAAAGCTATGCTTCCATTGCTTAGTTTTTTAATTTACTTTTTAATTTTGGATTATATTAGATATTATTTTAGTTTCCTTTCAGTTGGTGTAGGCCAAACAATAAGACTATAACGAAAAACTGTATTTTTATCTTTAGCATTTCTCCCACTTGAAACTTTTCACCTTTCAAAATTTAGGACGAGCAATTGTATAATATTTTGGTGTGTAAGGTTTAACGAGACAACCAATATTGATATATGATGCACCTAAGGAGGAGTGTTGTGAAATGAGTGGGAATACCTCTATAAAACAAGCATGTAGAAGGAATAATGAAAGTCAAAATTGTATACTTAAATATTAGAAGTTCGGTTTTTAGTATTTTGGCGTGTAAGTTTTCTTCATACATTAAAAGATGGGTTGGGTAAAAACCTCTCTATGTAGAGGTATGCTTGTATCATGCTAGTACAACACACAAAATCAAAAGCAGAAAGTGATATACCAGATTGTAGGGGGCAATCGATAGCATGACAGAAAATACATGATCAAACATTATAGTGACGTCCCTTCAATCGCCATAATCACAAAACTTGAAATCCTAAACTGCAGAAAATGATTTAATTAAACATCAAAATCGAATCATCAATCATGATTTATATTTTGCATCCACCAAATCATGTCTTAAACAAGTGGATGTGTTACGTGTAATTAGAATCAAGCCAACCAAAAGCTAGGCGTCCCTCGCTGCGATGTGATCCTGCAAATCCAAACAAAAGGTAGCAACTGAGAACTAAATGGGCAGAAGGAGATATTAATCATTCCTTAATCAATATTTCTTGTATAATCCAACTCGTCCAACTAAAGCACCTTTTGCATCCACGAAATATGTGTTATATCTTTGCAATACCACAATGATTAATGCCATCTAATTATTGACCAAAAGAATTAAAAAGTAGTTAAACATATTAACCAATGTTACTTTTTGTCATCAAATCTCAGTGATTAATTTCAAAATGATAGTCAAGGATGCAACTATATTTGCGTTTATTCTGAAGTCCAAGAACTAGCCTGATCTACAAAATGTTATCATTTTCATGATCTAGTTTTCTGCAAAGTGTGTAAAATTAACTTGGATTGTTGAACAAAAGGTTTAGCACCTAACCAAACCGGTGTAATTAAGTCAAAAATTCAGTAAAAAAAAATACTAGATAGTAGAAGGAATTAAGTTGGTCAAAAAGGCCTGTTAGATTACAAATGATAAGGTGAAGGCCGCTATCACGTTCTAATCCCGAGATATGTCCAGAATCGACACGTGCCATATCGAAACAGCCACATAAAATCAAGTTGGATTCATTACTTCAATAAAATACATACACAAAGCACATCAACAAGGCCAGTTGTCCCACAGAGCGAAGTTCCGAAAACACCAATAATTCAGCAACGGAACATTCTTTCATTTATTTTATGGCTACCTGTAACCCTTGAGACTACCTAAGTACCCTAAGACGAGATCAAACCATTCGCAGATCATCATTCTGTTAAGCTCTGAAATTTCTCATGGCATCAATTGGCTAAAAACATAGGGTTCCAGACAACTCCCAATATGAGTGATGCACTAACATGTCATTACATCATTCACATATATCACAATTCTTTCCAGACCAAGATGCACAATTAACTTTAACCACATTGATCAACTGATCATATCAAATATTATTTCACGAAATTTACTAAAGCAAATCTCCGTATTTCCCTCTTATATTCCAAGCAATAACATGGTAATTCCAATAACAAACACAAGAGTATACACCTTAAGCAACTACCATTCACAACAATCTAGGGTTCTAAATAAACTCAACGGAACCGAATAGGAAGTGAGATTCTGGACCAAATCAACAAAATTCAGACGAATGGGGGTTGCAGACCAACTCAATGGAATCGAATAAGAAATGGGATTTCGAACAACCTTAATAAAATCAAGACTGAGGAATGTTCGGACCAATCAACAAAAACGAATAAGAAATGAGATTTCAGACCAACTCAACATAATCCATACACGGAGGAAGGGTCTGGACGACTGAACGGAATCGAATAGGAAATGGGATTCCGAACCAACTCAAAAGAATCCAGACAGATGATGGTTTTAGACCAACTCAATGAAACTGAATAGGAAATGGAATCAGGACCAACTTAACAGAATCAAGAAGAAAAGGGTTCCAGACAAACTCAACAATATTGAGTAGGAAATGAGATTCCAAACCAACTCAGTGTAATTCAAACGGAGCACGGTTCCTTACTGACTCACTAGAACTGAGTACGAAATGGAATTTCTGACCAACTTAACGAAATCCAAACGGAGGAGGGTTATGGACCAACTCAACAAAACTGAGTAGGAAATGTGATTCTGGACAACCTCAACGAAATCCAAACGAAGGAGGGTTCCAAACTAACTCAAGGGAACTGAATAGAAAATGAGATTCCAAACCAACTCAACAGAGTCCAAATAGAGCACAGTTCCAGACCAACTCAACAAAAATGAGTAAGAAAAAGGATTCTGGACTAACTCAACGGGACCCAAATGGTATACGGGTTCGGACCAACTCAACGAAATCGAATAAAACTATAGGAACCTAAGGATAACTCGATGGAACTAGAAAAGACAAAAGTTTGATGTCACGACTTCCTAATAACCATGGTTTAATAATTCTCTACTAGCCCTTTCGTTTTGCAAACATTTCAAATATGCATTGCAAAATAAATTTCATTACTCTCACTTAAAATCACAATAACCACATAAATCTAGTAAAGTGCCACTTGCACACAAGCTGAAGTGCACATCCCCCAAGATGTTACATTGACCAAGGTAGGGCCACTAGACTATATCAAGTATTTACTAGCGCTAATTTCTATAATTATGAACGATTTAGAACATGTTGACCAAAAGTCAACCCTTGGTCAACGTGGTCAATAGTAGGGTCAACAACTCTATGTGAAACAATCTGGAAGATCCGCACATCTAATTTTTGATCTCCTAAGGGTCTCACATTAATCACACAACAACATATTATAATTTCATGACGATCCAGTAATGGGATCTTCACCTACCACAAAGGTCAAGTGGCGGTCATTTACGAAACTAGGTTCAAGCAATGAAATCACATCAAACAGATATTGAAAACGATTTTAGAGCATTGAAATTAGCCTAGAATAACAAGGTCGAGTCATTGGCCACGCCTCGCCGCACGCAACATCTGACGGCTAAGCTTTGCTTGATTTTCCGACCATCACCGATTTGGCTCAAAATTTACTCGAAGGTGGGTTACAATAAGGAGAATAATGTTCATGCTTTCCTTGAAGTCCAGAACAGGTCAGTGGACAGCGAAAATCGTCGTCAAGGTCACGGATCGCCAAAAAAGATGGCCTCGCCGCGTACCTGTCACTGCACCAACGGGAGATCGGGACCTAGAAATCTCCTCATGGAGTCGAGATCTATCAACTAATGATGGTGGTTGGCGTTTGTGGTCTGTGAAAATTCAACATGTTTCCGTATGTTCAAAAAAATTCAACATGTTACCTTATCTAGGAACTCAATTAATTTTTTTATTTTAAGATAGGGGTAGATTGACCTAAATCATGTTAAAAAAAATAAATTTTTAAGAGCTACGTTTAACCCCTTATGTTTCTTTTTTGTTTTTTTTATTTTTTTATTTTTTTTTTGCCAAGATTTAACCTTTTCTGTTGGAAATGGTATATGAATATGGTCTACTATTGTTCAATAAAAAATAATTTCTTGCTCTAAATGAGGCTATGTTTAACGTATTCGATTGGAGATGACCTTAAAGATTGTGTGATTCTCCTTATGCTAGTGCTTTTATTTATAATAAATCATGAAAAAAAAGTAACTTGTTTTCAAAGTAAATACAAAATCTAATAAGAAAGAATCAGTAAAATAATGAACAATTTGAAATCCATCTTCTGTTCACAACAAAGAGTAA